GCCAGAGCAGGTGGATGCCCGAAGGAAGCTGTGACCCGATGGGAAGCCTGTGCTGGAGCAGGCTCCTGGCGGGATCTGTGGATCCATGGAGAGAGGAGGCCACACAGGTTTGCTGGCAGGACTTGTGACCCCAGGGGGGACCCAGGCTGGAGCAGGCTGCTCCTGAAGGACTGCACCCTGTGGAAAGGACCCACGCTGGGGCAGTTTGTCAAGAAATTGCAGCTTTCCAGTATCTGAAGGGGGCCTACAAGGGTACTGGGAGAGGACTTTTTACAAGAGCCTGTAGTGATAGGACAAGGGGTAATGGGTATAAATTGAAATCAGGGAGGTTTAGGTTAGATGTCAGGAAGAAATTCTTCACAGAGAGGGTGGTGAGGCACTGGAACAGGTTGCCCAGAGATGTTGTGGATGCCCCATCCCTGGATGTCTTCAAGGCCAGGCTGGATGAGGCTTGGAGCAACCTGGTCTAGTGGAAGGTGTCCCTGCCCATGGCAGGGGGGTTGGAACTGGATGATCTTTAAGGTCCCTTCCAACCCTAACCATTCTATGATTCTATGAACTGCAGCCCATGGGAAGCATCCTTGTTGAAGTTCATGGAGGGCTGTCTCCCATGGGAGGGACCCCTGGGTAAGGGGTGTGTGAGGTGTCCTCCCTCTGAGTGGCAGAGACAGTGTGTGATGAACTGACCATAACCCCCATTCCCTGTCCCCCTGCACCACTCAAGGGGAGGGGGTAGAGAAAAGCAGGAGTGAATTTGAGCCCAGGAGGAAGGGAGGGGTAGAGGGAAGGTGTGAAGATGTGGGGTTAGATCTCTCTGTGCTCTGGTGTGTCAGCCCACCACAGGGCACTGGCATGCAAGAGCAGGAGCGTTAATGCTGATGTTCTGGGCACGCATCCAGTTTCAGTAACTGCTGCCTGTCACCTCACTCAAGTCCCACTTCCACTGGGATTTTGTGGATCACTCTTCACTTCCGCTCTTGCATAGCTGGGGCGTTTAACAAACAGCAGTTTTACGCACCAGAAACTAGTTGCCTTTGCTAGTGAAGTCTTGGTGCGGTTTTTTTCCTCAGTAACCGAGTCATGGTGTGGTGCAGCTGTGAGAAATGCACATGCAGTCCTAAGGTATGTCAGGAAAATCCTTCCAGTAGAGATAGGAAGAACTTAGTACTGCCCTGTACAACAGCAGTTAAGTATTTAGGGTGCTGTAAGCGGTTTTGGCTAGCCATGTTTAAGGAATAGTAACTTTAAACTGAAGGAATGGAAGGAAGAGCTGGTATGACATTAGTAGGAATTAAGAGCCAGTCTTAAAGGAGGAGGCCAGGAGCTTGGCTTTAGCTACAAGAAGGAAGGTGTGAAGAGGTCACGGTAGCTCTCTGAAAAGGCATATGGGATAGGGTGCATTGGTGCCCAGAAACTGCTGAAGCTAATGAGCCACAAGAGCTAATGAGCGTACGGGTAGCACTTGAGTATGTTTAGAGTGGAAACCCGAAGAAAGCCTGTGAGAATAATGGTAGCTTGGGAACAGCCTTGCCAGGGAAGATGTTGAAGTGACTTCAGAGGGCTGATATACCATCTAGGAAAGGGCATGGATTTGTAGAGCACTGTAGTAATAAGAGGCCTGACATGAACTTCAGGAAGAAGTTCTTCCCAGAGAGGGTGGTGAAGCACTGGGACAGGTTGCCCAGAGAAGCTGTGGATGCCCCATCCCTGGAAGTGTCCAAGGCCAGGCTGGATGAGGCTTGGAGCAACCTGGTCTAGTGGAAGGTGTCCCTGCCCATGGCAGGGAGGTTGGAACTGGATGATCTTTCAGGTCCCTTCCAACCCAAACTGCTCTGTAATTCATTCTGTGATGAGCCAAGAGCCTCTTGTTCCTCCACATTAAAAACAGTTGCTTGGGATGGGGTGGCCGGCATGGTCCAGAAGCTTTGACACCAAAGGGGAGTACAGCTCATTAGTACTCCGTGGAGTACTATTTGAGGATGCCAGTAATGAGCGTGTGCCTTTTTAGGAGTATTATTGGAATAATAATCTGTTAAGGAGGCACACGTCCCTTTCAGGCTCTTCACGCATCTTTATGTTCTCTCATATGCTAATTTCAGCCCATGATTTAATTTTTTTTTCTTTGCAACAGCAGAGAATAGGTATTTCTGGGACAGCCTGTACTGAGCTGGAATGCACAGGACTGGCCTAACCAGACCCTAGCTGGTATGGTAAACTTTGTTACTGATTTGGCTGAGAGGTAACTTGAAGAGGCAGGTGTACTTGTAAATAGCTATTAAAACAAAACAAACAAAAAAAAAAAAAAACCCACACACAAACTAAAGCCATGTGAAAAGAAAGGATTGACATTTTTATTTACAGGTGCTTTGTCTTGGATCTTTTGAGGCTGGGGTAGTTTTAGGTCCTTGGGTTCAAAGTGCAGGTTTTTCCATAAATGGTAAGGTGTAGCAAAATCAGCTGAACGATCCCTGTGCTCCTCTTGCACAGTACTTCCAGTTTAAACTGGGGTAGTCTGGCACTTCTGCTCAAGAACCGACCAATTCTGCCTCTGGCAATTTTTTTTTCCTCTTCTTTATGCTGGCAGAAGACTTGGGGACTGATGTGGGTTAAAACTAAGCTTTGCTTTTGCTGGCTAGGTTAGTTTTAATTGGGGTTGGTTCACCACATTGTTGCACAAATGTTTGTGCCAGCAAAAGGATGGAAATGAGTGGCTTGGGACAGCGAGAGTGCTGCTTCGGACAGAAGTGCCGGCTTTCCTGTGTTTTCACTCCGGGCACTGGTGGGACTCTGGCTGCGCTGCCCTTGAGCGAAGTGAACTCTTGTGATGTGTGTCTTCCTTCCCATGTCCTCCTTTAGTTTACTTAGGAAATGCTGTCGTGTGTAATAGATGTGGTGCTGATTAAATCAGCTACTGCTATACATAAGTCATTTAGGTTTGAGTGCATACTATTTAAGCAGGCATATTTAGCATATTGATTTATGTTTCCTGCAGTGGCTCTCAAACCTTTTTCATAGTATCCTCCAGGATAAATTACTGGCCCTGGTGCAGCTTTCCAGCAACGAAGAAACAGCTAGTGACAGTGCAGGAGGAGATGGCAGGAGGCAGCAATGAGTGTGGCAGGTAGTGAGAGAGATTGGGGGGGAGCCCAAGGGCTCAGGGACATCTGCCAACAGCACCTTTTAGCCACCTACTACTGGAACTTGTTTCTGTGGCCTGATTCAAGCCTCGGAGGTGATTGCTTGGCTCAGCAGCTATAAGCAGCCTTAGGCTCTGCTTCTGCACTTATTTATTCCCAGTTTTAAGCCTTTTTGGTGATGGTCTGTCTTCTGGCCATGGTCCCTTTCTCAGACATCTTGGCCTGGCTGCCCCTGGCAATATGTCTTTGTCCTGTTGCACTGTCATCATAAATATTCCATAGGGACTGTCTTCTAATGCCCGATTTCTTGCTTCATTAGTAACTAATTAATTTTAAAATAATATTGGAAAACACACTACTATGTCAGAGATTTTTGCTCAGGTATAAAGAGGGACTTGCTCTATAACAACTTTGCTCCGAGTTCCCTGTAAGAGTTAATGCTGGTGTTACTGATAGACTGAAGCTTGGATCTACTGAAATAAAAAAAAAAGCATTGCTAAGTTCAGTATATCATTAAATCTTTCAGATAAGAGGTCTAGGCTTTCAGGGGACTGAGTGTGAAAGTGAGGTTTTTCTCTTCCCTTACTGACCTAATCTGATCTAACTGGGCAGTTGAGACCTGCTCCCTTTGGTTTCCATTCTGAGGCAGACTGTAGTAAAAGAGGCTGCTGGGTCTTCACTACTAGTATGAGATTAGTGGGATGCTCTACTCCAGCAAGCTCTCTCCCAGACACAAACGCACCTGGGAACCCACATGCTGGAGTTTTATTCTTACCCTTTGTGAGAAAAAGGTAGCAGCACTGCTGGCTGTGATTAGAAAAGGGCATAACTTGCCTTCTGTGTGCCTGAAGAAGCCCCGCCAGGCTGAAGAGCTGTGCTAAGCTGGGCATGAAACCAGTATTACAGTTATCCCACCGTGTAATAACTTCAATAGCATACTGTTTACAGTGGGAGTACCTCTGTGGTGTGAGATCATCATCCTTGCTGGCTCAGTACTCACTTGATGCTGGAATATAACTATCAAAGGGGCTCGCACAAGCGGCGGTACATGAAGAAAGGAACCTTGAGAGCAAAAGTAATCTGGGAGATGGAAAAGGCTGTGAAACAAAGGGCTGGTGGCGGTAGGAGTCACAGAAAAGAGATACTGCAGACTATTTTGGCACAATGTAGTGGTTTATAGCTAGAAACTTTAAAAGTGCCTCTCATTTGCTGTTGCTTGTAGTTGCCCTGGGTGTTTTTACGTAGATGCGATGGAAGGATATGGAGAGCGTTGCTGCTTCTGTCACTCTTGGGATCACTGCTGGAGAACGTACTGTCTGCATATCAACAGGCTTAATAGGAGTTTGCTGCACACCGTACTGCTGCTTTTTAGAGGAGGATGTCTCTGAACTTAGTCTTTAAGCATAAGCTTTATATTGATAGGTGGTAAAATGGAGGCTGTCCTCAAAGCATGGGTAGGGACTTAATTTTCTTGGTCTCTATTCTAGCCTCCTGTCCTGTCGTCTGTCCCATCCCCCCTTTCTTTGTGTGTTTTGGTATTGGTGTGTTTGGGGTTTTTTTCCTGTGATCCTGATGGTCCCCAAGGAAATTAGTGGGATAAAGCTAGAGAGATCAGTGTTTTCCTGTCTGCACCCAATAAAGCCATGCATATACTGTGGTACATCAGTGTTAAGCATGGCTCGAGAAACTTCTGACTGCACAGCATCGACTGAAATTGGCTTTGGGAGTTAAATCCGCCCCCAACAGAAGACTTAATGGTATGGTTGAACACTGCAGTTCACATATGTGTCGAACTGGTTATATGGGGGGGACAGTTCTAAGCATAAAGAACATTAATTGTTGGTGTCCTTAGACGTGTTGCAGTGTGTCAGATGTTAAGCATGTTTTGATTTGTTCCAGTAGCCGGATCGAGCTGGGAGATGTGACGCCACACAACATTAAGCAGCTGAAGAGGCTAAACCAGGTCATTTTTCCCGTCAGCTACAATGACAAGTTCTACAAGGATGTACTGGAGGTTGGCGAACTAGCCAAATTAGGTACAAGTGTTCTTGCCAGTAATTGTGGGCTATGGTGGCAAAAGTGCTCATCATTGCTGTCCATAATGGTTTTGAACAGTAGATCCTTTTATTTTGTTGTTTTATGTAATGAAAACTAACTGTTTGGGCACCTCAGAAACCACGGTCCCAACCTCAGAGGGTTTCCGTTTTACTGGGAATAGGCATGTTTTCCGTTACAGCAGAAAACTTGCATGCTGCCAGCTTACCTCCTCGTGTCCTCTGGTTGAACAGCAGTAAGCCAGCTGCTCCGTCAGAGCACACCAAACGTTTGCCACGGTCTGTGGTGTTTTCTGGAGGGAAGGAGGAAGATAGAGGGTGTAAGGGAAGGAGCCGTACGTGCAGTTTGAGACTTGTGACTGACGATGCTTTGTTTCTCTCCCTGGCAGCCTATTTCAATGATATTGCTGTGGGAGCGGTGTGCTGTAGGGTGGATCACTCCCAGAACCAGAAGAGACTCTACATCATGACACTCGGATGCCTGGCACCCTACCGAAGGCTAGGAATCGGTAAGGAGGATCTTCCTTTGCATCTGAGGCATCAAAGAAGCCAGATTGCTGTGCGGCCTCTTAAATGCATTTTCAGATGTGTAACCGAGACAATGCACATTCAGACCACTGATTTCTTAGAGAGGACTTTGGAGAAAGGATCTGATTTCTAATGTGCTCTTTTTTTCTAATGTGCCTTTCAGTAATGGACCTTTTGTAGAACTTTCTAATTCAGGATTTCAGATTAAAATAATCTTAATCGCTTTATCGTACTGTGATGTAAATGTTCTGCTTCTGCAGATGTGAAAACTGATGCGCAGAGGGAGGAAGAAATTTGTCAGAGGTGCGCAGCCAGTGTGCAAGTCATGTCTCTTCCGGAGAGACCTCATTTCAGCCTTCCAGTGCCTGAAGGGGCTACAAGGAAGCTGGGGGGGACTTTTTACAAGGGCCTGTAGTGACAGGACAAGGGGTAACAGGTTTAAATTGAAAGTGGGGAGGTTTAGATTAGATATCAGGAAGAAGTTCTTTTCGGAGAGGGTGGTGAGGCACTGGGACAGGTTGCCCAGAGAAGCTGTGGATGCCCCATCCCTGGAAGTGTCCAAGGCCAGGCTGGATGAGGCTTGGAGCAACCTGGTCTAGTGCAAGGTGTCCCTGCCCATGGCAGGGGGGTTGGAACTGGATGATCTTTAAGGTCCCTTCCAACCCAAACCATTCTATGATTCTATGATAAGCAAAGCACAGCATTCCTTCCTTGGATTCTGTCTTCACCCTTACAAATGAAGGGGTTTTTCCCTATTTATTTTGTGTTTATCACTACTGATCATTCTTGCTCGGAGGTAGTACCTGCTCTCTGTCCACACTGCAATTAGTTCTTTTCTCCATGTTGCAAATCCATGGACTAGATTAACCAAGACCTTACAGTAACATGTTTGCCTTGACAATCCAGAATGAAAAGACAACTTTATTCTAAATTATTTTACTAGACCCTTGTTAGAAAAACTTAACCAATGCTTTCACTGCTTTATGCCTTGGTTTGACCATATTTTGAGGTGAGTTTGAGACCTTGGAGCTAGTATTATATAAGCTGCTTTATACATATGCTTCTGGGCTGTTGGGAGTTTTTTTCTCCAAAGAAACAGTTAATTAAGTTTTGTGAGCAGTCAGATAGCAAAATACTTATATACCATGTTTTATTTGCCTTTCCCAGTTCCCACAAGCCCTGTTGTTTTAGCCTACCTACAGTTAACCTCCTCAAGAAAGGCCTTAGCTACATACAGACTTCACTGTGCACTTCTGGTTTTGTTAAGTCTCTCTTTACCTTTTGGCAGGAACTAAAATGTTGAATCATGTCTTAAACATCTGTGAGAAAGATGGCACTTTTGACAACATCTATCTGTAAGTAAATGAGTTACACTTGTGGGGTTTTGAAGAGATGATAGAGGCATATAGGGGAGCAGAGGGAGGGAGATTCAAGGGCATTTTCACTGTTTATTTAACTGGGCTCATGGGATATCTTGTAAGCCCTAGCAAGAAAGCGAGGGGTCATGTTCTGGGCTTGTGTGATGCTGAGAAAACCAAAAGCTTGCTCGTTTTAGACAGCTTCTGCCAGTTTGCTGAATTTGGAAGTAGTCTAGTTAAAGGATGTTCTGTAGCAGAATGACACTGTGTGACTAAAAAAAGTTTGAAGTAGGTTTTTTTACCATACAGTGTCATCCTCAGAATGGAACATACTGTGAGCCTTGCATGCCGTTTTGATACGTTTGCTGTCTGTCTCTTAGGACAGCACTGAGCAGGTTAGCACATCTGACCGGGGGCGCTTGCCAGTGCTCCAGGTGCTCGTTCAGTAGCACGACCCGACTGCTTGTTCTTGCACTGTGCCAGGTCAGCTGTTTGTGCATCCACACAGTAAACTAGGGCAATGACCTGACCCAGCTGGGGAACCTGGTTTTGGTTTTGTTTCTGGGTGTGGGTTTGTTTGGGGTTTTTTTTGTTAATTAACTGCGTGTCTGTATAAGCACTTGGCATGATGCAGACATGAGAACAAGCACTGGGGTGGAGGAAAGGACTGTTTAAAAGAGCACCACCATCTAATAGATCCCTATGGAAATAGAGCCTGAAATCCCTGGATGCCAAAGCTTTGCTTCCCCTTTGCTGCTCGCTTCTGTTTCTTCCTGCGCACTGGTGTCTGTGTGAATACCAAGCGAGCTGATGCAGGTTTTGGCCAGAGCGCTTCGCTGAGCCAGCTGCTTCCTTGTCCATCACTGCTTGCTTATACTGGTACAGGCATGGTGCACCGGTAGGGAGAGTCCCACAGCAGGTACGGCTTGGATGGGCTTGGGCTGCCACGGAACTCACCCTGAACTCTTGCCAGGACTGCTGAAGATGCTTAGTGAGGAGTGTTTTGTTTACTGGTATCACTGTAAATGGAGTGACTTTCTCCTCAAGCTTAGTCCACCTCTGCAAAGGAGAGTCTTCCTCTGTTATTGTAGCTTTGTGCCGTCTCTGTAAGAGGAAGAGGTGTGTTAAAGAGGAGCTTGAGTTGCTGTCCTGCTTCAGAAGTGGTGGCTCTCGGATGCCAGTTGGTTGGCCCAGGCCTTCCTTTTTGCTTTCGCACCGTGTGTACAGCGGAGCAACCGCTAGCTGTGTTTAATGCAAAACCAAATCCTTTGTAATCCTATCCACTTCCCAGGGTGGGTTTCTGGGATGCCCCCAAGTTGGGCATCACTAAGTTTTCAGTGGCCCACTGATTTTCTGACTGTGTCTGTTGCTTGTGCATCTTCTCCCTGAACGTATTGTGCAGCCTAGCAACCAATTTGGTATCGGTGGCTAAATTTGTCATTATTACGAAGTTTTATTTAAGCTCTGTGGTGTTTATTTGGCTTCACACGAAGGTCTTTTGTTCTGCTGTTGCTTCCAGAGTTGCTTTGGTTCTATGGTTATGCAGCATGTTGTCATGACAAAGTGATTCATGAGCTTGTGCAGTGTCCACTGAATTTTGGGAGTGTTTTAATGAATGCCTTTTGCTGAGCCAAACATCTCTATTTTTTTTAATAGAACTTATGCAAATAAATGTCCTAGTTGCTTAGAATGAAGCAATGATGGCTGTTTGTTCTGGAGGCCTTGAGAAAATGCTAGCAAGATCTGTAAAACCCTGGGGGAGGTAGATAAAAGGGGAAGGGACTTTCTAAGCCCACGTACTGCCTTTGTGCTGCTGTAGCTTTTTGTGGGGAGAGAGGGATAGTTTGTGCTGCTGTAGCTTTTTGTGGGGAGAGGGGTAGTTAGGCGTGAGCAAGGAGGAGCAACCACCACTGCTAAGTGTAGGGATTGCAACTCAGTAACTGCTTTGGTCACCTACAAAGTGTCACTACAGGAAGTTAAAACTGGCTCTGTGGTGAAACTTTGTATTTCAACCAAATACCTGTCAGTTCTAGATTAACAAAAATTGAAGTTACGGAGCTAGTAGTGCTGAGATTCTCCTTGCTATTTGTGTTCCTTAAAAGAACTTTACTGAGGGGAAACATTTGCCACTTCTCAGAATGATTGCCACAGGCCGTCCAGGAGCTGTGTGGTGGCTCAGGGTTGATTTGGAAGACCAAAATTTCCAGTCCTGAACTTAAACCATCGTTCCTGTCTCTATATCTAGACAGCTCCTCTTCTTACCTTGTCTTTGTCCGTTGTGAGCGTGGTGGCGGAATACTGTACTGCAGAAAGTTCTGATGCCTGTCTGTCTGTCCTCCTCTCTGTCCCAGGCATGTCCAGATCAGCAATGAGTCCGCAATTGACTTCTACAGAAAGTTTGGCTTTGAGATCATTGAGACGAAGAAAAACTACTACAAGAGGATAGAGCCCGCAGATGCTCACGTGCTGCAGAAAAACCTCAAAGCCCTTTGTCTTGGCCAGAATGCAGATGTGCAAAAGACCGACAACTGAACAAAACCCCAACGAACACTTTCTTGCACTTGCTTGTCGCCAAATAAGGAAAGAGGCCTCTTTTTTTTTTTTTTTTCTTTGTGGTTTTCTTTTTTTAAACTCCACCCCTTCATCCTCTTAATTTTTTTTCTTGACCTCTCTCCAACAAAATGTAATGCTTCTTCCAAGGATTGTCCAATCATGTTTGGGGTTGGGGGTTTTTTTTGAGCTCTTTTCTGGCTTTTTTTGTTTTGGGGTTTGTTTGGGGTTTTTGGGGGGGGCTTTTTTTTTTTTGGGGTGGGAAAAGGTGTGCAGATCTCTTAAGTTTGAGGTGTGGAGGGCTTGAGCAGGTTATCCTGATGACAAGTTTCCTTCAGAATTATCTCTTTCAGTAAGCAGAATGTAAATCCAGTGGGGGGGAAAAAGGAAAAGCAGTATCTTGTCCTTTGACTCCTACATTATTGTGTTTTTTATAACCTACAGGGTACTTTACTCCCCTCCAACCTTTGAATGTTACTTCAATACTTCCTAATCTTCCTCTTAATTCCCTCCCACCTCAAAAAAGTATGTTTAGTTCTTCCTAATTTTTTTTTTTTTTTTTGCTGAGAAGGGCAGGCTGCTTTACCAGACCCTTTT